CACCTTCCCTCCCCCCCCCCCTTCCCTAGTCGATCCGCTTCCCCGAACTGCGCCCCCTCCCACTCACAAACCACTCGCCTACCCGACTTCTTTCACCCCCCCCCCCCCCACACACACACACACCATATTACTATAAACCTTTTCTAGATTTAATGTTGAGCAATTCAACTTCACGCAATACATTTTTTTAAAAAGTAACTTTTAGTTAAAGGTATGTAAGAGTTGTTTTGGGGTGCTTTTTTTAAAAACAAAAACATTTTTTCAGAGACTCATATATTAGTAATCCCACTAAAATATTTTCAAAATTTTATTTGAGACATATTTTTAAAAAAAACATTGTTTTCGGTTGTTTTTGTTTTTGTGGGAAAAGCCAAAAGTTAATGGAATACCTCTTTATGTTAACAGCATTATCAAGAAAAACTACACACACACACGCAAACACACACATTCAAACACACACACATTCAGACACTCACACTCACACACAAACATAAACACACACAAACACACACAAACAAACACACACAAACAAACACACACAAACAACTTGTGTGATATAACGGGTCAATTGTTCATTTAAAGGGACGGCGTGGTTGTGTGGTAGACCACTCGATTAATAACTCACAAGTCTCGAGGTGGCATGTTGAATTTACTTGAGTCGATTTAGCTTTAATGAGTACCTGACTTCAGTTAGGGAAACTAGAGACGGCTGGGTTTAGTATTAACCACACGTTTCATTCCGATCAGAGAAACAGACCTAATGCCGAGGTCATGGAAACAGAGACCTAATGCCGAGGTCATGGAAACGGAGACCTTATGCCGAGGTCAGAGAAACAGAGACCTATACAGTTAAAAGGAACTGTACCATTTTCTTTTCTCATTAGTCTAAAAACAAAACTATCTAACAGAAACAATGTCCACTTAAAAAACAAAGCATCAACTATTCCTATCATAGGTAGCATCTAATGCTCATGACAACCCTTTTGTGGACACATAATCTATAGAGCAGTCGAGAATATGGAAGCCGCTATAACAACCCGCCATAACAACCCGCCATATAAGCTTTTGTGTCAAACGTGTTAGACTTGCCAACCCTCAAGGTGATAAGATCCGAACATACCAACCACCGGAGCAACGAAATCTGGCCATGCCAATCCTCAAAGGAACAAGACACAACCTAGCCAGCCCTTAGTGTAACGAAACCCAACCTTGCCAACCCTCAAAGAAACAAGACACAACCTAGCCAGCCCTTAGTGTAACGAAACCCAACCTTGCCAACCCTCAAAGAAACAAGACACAACCTAGCCAGCCCTTAGTGTAACGAAACCCAACCTTGCCAACCCTCAAAGAAACAAGACACAACCTAGCCAGCCCTTAGTGTAACGAAACCCAACCTTGCCAACCCTCAAAGAAACAAGACACAACCTAGCCAGCCCTTAGTGTAACGAAACCCAACCTTGCCAACCCTCAAAGAAACAAGACACAACCTAGCCAGCCCTTAGTGTAACGAAACCCAACCTTGCCAACCCTCTAATTGACCAGCCCAAATCAAACTAACTCTTGGTGTAAAGTGACCCAATCATGTCAATAATCTCAATCACGTGATCCCTACACTAAAAAAAGAGAAGATCTCTTGAAACCAGTCAAGCGTGACAGTTGCCAATCAAATGGCACTGCACGCTGCCCACGTCTAATACACCAATGAAATGTCTTGACTTCTCTAAAACAACCAATCAGGAGCACCGTGAGAACAAATAAGACATCACGTGATGAGGGAGTCACTGTTGAGATAACAAAATGGCCGCGTCAGTCACGCTGAGCTAACAGCGACGCGGAGTCTACCCCGGGGGATCAAAGGAGGAACGTGGGGGACAAAATGTTTATCAAAGTACTAGTGAGGTTTGTTGATTGTGTTAGACTGTGCTACTTTCGGCACTCAGACGTTCACTGACTTAGAATAATGACATTTTTTTTAGCCCTGGGCTAGTCATAGGCCAACCACAGGCTGGGTCCGGGTAATCTATGACTGTCCACTGACAGGGTCCTGTCCAGCATTGACTGACCAATTTCAGGGTTCTTGCAATCTATGACTGACCACTGACATGGTTCAGTCCAGCATTGACTGACAATGTCAGGGTTCATGCAATCAATGACTGACTACTGACAGGGTTAAAAAAGAATATAGTATCTCTTCTGGTTATCAAAATCGCAGAAAAGTTTATAGAAACGTACGTTTAGGGTCTAGTACTTATGTATGAAACTTTACACCTAACTCAAGTTATCGTGTTCACACATACAGAGACAAACACACAAACACACATCAATACAAGTTTCTTCTTCCTCTTCTGCCTTCGTAACTGTAACAATAGGCTCCAACACAACAAAGTACTAAGTCTCAACTTGTTATGCGCTATTTGGGCCGTTGACTCCGATTTCATCCTGCTTTTCTTTCTGGATTTACAAAGCAGTAGTTGTTTGATTTTGGGGTTTTCTCTCATAGAAAAGTTGCTATCCCCGACGACCACATCGACCCCGCCCGGGAGTTCGAACTTGGAACTTATCGGTTTAGCAGCCATGAGCTTTACCGAACCGACCACGTCGAGCCAAAATAAAAGACTGGGATTTTCTGACTCATAAAAGTGTAAAATTCGATATTTGTGAAACTCTCGATTTCGATTTTTTTGCACGATTACAATACTTCCCCTTATACTTTGTGAACGAGAATATAAAAACCTTACATCAGGCTCTTTGAAAACCTTACATCAGGCTCTTTGAAAACTTTACATGAGGTACTTTGAATGCATCAAATTGACGGTTGTAAGGCTTGAATACCTGGCTTTGAAGCGGCACTCTAAATGACGTTGCTTGAATGCGGCAATATTTTTTCAGTTAATATTTCTCTTTTTTTTTAAATCTGAACTTTTTATTGAACGTAGACGAGAGCTCTAGGATTTCAATTGTAGAAAAAAACATATTTGAAGTTGTATTTACACAGATTTAAGCAGTCTATTATCGATATAGTTGGTAGAATTATTGTGTGTGTGTGTGTGTTATCTGCAAATGAATGTGTTGAATCTAGAAAATTCGTTTGTGCTATCTTGATCTGAAGATAATTTTTCCTGCAGCTAAGTCCGGTAACACCATTGCATCACTTAGTAGTTTAGTGTTACATTGATATTATCGATTCTATTTGTACCTTTGCTTTCAGTTGCTTACCAGTTGAAGCATTGGTTTTAAGTGCGGAATTGTATCATTGCCTCTATTTGTACAACAATTTTGAGAGTAGCTTTTAGTTATGGCATTTTTGTATCGTCGCGTCTATTTGAACAGTTGCTGCGTCTATTCCCACAATTGGTGTAGCGATGTGAATAAGTATTTAACTGTTGTACTAAATCTCCTATTTCCACAACTTTTGTGCTTGAGTGTTTATTTCCATAATCTATGCGCCACTCCGGTAAAAGATATATTGTCTCACTTTTACGTCTGTTTGTACAATAATTTATTAATGGATCTATTTCTACAATTAGTGTCCAATTTGTCTAAATGGGTTATACCCTTGGGTCTATTCATACAAAAAATGTCTACGTATTGAAGTCACCAATTCAGTTTAATGTTATTTGTTTTGTTTACAAAATTATTAAAAATTCAGTAATAAACATCTTACAAATATAAATAAACAGAATTCAAGTTCAATTCAACACAAAATCAATCATACAACAGTGATAAGAATTCTCATTTCAAACACATAACAATCATACCTGTATTTTGCAACAAACAGCTCTACGGTATAACAATCACAGATCCACCATACAACAATCACATCATCACCATACCACAATCACAGCACCACACAACAGCCATCACAACATCACCCAACAACAACCACATCTCCACCATACCACAATCTCAGCATCACCACACCACAATCACATCATCACCACACCACAATCACATCATCACCATACCACAATCACATCATCACCACACCACAATCACATCATCAACATACCACAAACCCCACCATACCACAATCACATCATCACCATACCACAATCATATCATCACCATACCACAATCACATCATCACCATACCACAATCACAACATCACCATACCACAATCACAGCATCACCATACCACAATCACATCATCACCATACCACAATCACAACATCACCATACCACAATCACATCATCACCATACCACAATCACAACATCACCATACCACAATCACAGCATCACCATACCACAATCACATCATCACCATACCACAATCACAACATCACCATACCACAATCACAGCATCACCATACCACAATCACAACATCACCATACCACAATCACATCATCACCATACCACAATCACAACATCACCATACCACAATCACATCATCACCACACCACAATCACATCATCACCATACCACAATCACAACATCACCATACCACAATCACAGCATCACCATACCACAATCACATCATCACCATACCACAATCACAACATCACCGTACCACAATCACAGCATCACCATACCACAATCACAACATCACCATACCACAATCACATCATCACCATACCACAATCACATCATCACCATACCACAATCACAACATCACCATACCACAATCACAGCATCACCATACCACAATCACATCATCACCATACCACAATCACAACATCACCATACCACAATCACATCATCACCATACCACAATCACATCATCACCATACCACAATCACAACATCACCATACCACAATCACAACATCACCATACCACAATCACAACATCACCGTACCACAATCACAGCATCACCATACCACAATCACAACATCACCATACCACAATCACAGCATCACCATACCACAATCACATCATCACCATACCACAATCACAACATCACCATACCACAATCACATCATCACCATACCACAATCACAACATCACCATACCACAATCACAACATCACCATACTACAATCACATCATCACCACACCACAATCACAACATCACCATACCACAATCACATCATCACCATACTACAATCACATCATCACCACACCACAATCACAACATCACCATACATATGTAACTGAGCAGCTTATCACACTTAGCATCCAGCACCTGACCAAAATCGGACGTCAAGAACAGACAACTCTCCTCCTGGCTCACACCGGGCTCGCCCGTGTCCAAGGGGACGTCACTCAGCTGCTCCTGGGTCAGGTTCTCCTTGTTGTGGTCCCAGACGAACACCCCCGGGCTCTCGATGGAATTGGCACCAATCCAATAGCCAACGTCTTCGTCAGCTGGGGACAGAGGGGTACAAATTGGTCAGCGGTTCTAGAACTAGCAGGAGAGAGGTACAAATTGGTCAGCGGTTCTAGAACTTGCAGGAGAGAGGTACAAATTGGTCAGCGGTTCTAGAACTAGCAGGAGAAAGGTATAAATTGGTCAGCGGTTCTAGAACTTGCAGGAGAGAGGTACAAATTGATTAGCGGTTCTAGAACTTGCAGGAGAGAGGTAATTTTTCCGTTTATTAATTTAAGCTTCTTTTGGAATAATTAAAAAAACACATTTCAAAATTGACCAGAATTAATCTGTTTGTTCTTCAAGTAATACGCAATACTTTAGGTGAAAAAAGACAGGGTTCGTGGCAGCTTTAGAAATGGCTTTTTAAAAAAAAATTCTATTAATTTTATCTTTGATACAACGATTCAAAAAACTATCAAAAACTCCGAAAACTATTTTTGATTAACTGAGTTGGAGAAATATGTTTAATATTTCTGATGTACAGTCTGTGGGGTGGGATGGAGATGTTGAATTCATCAAACTCGTTTTCCGTTGTAGCTGGGAATTGGGATTACAGCTGCAGCCGGTCAACTGAAGCTGTAAGCCTAGCGGAAAATTTGATGTAAACGTGGATGTAAGTGGACTGAACGTTTGTCCCTCAGTCGCATTAGTCCACCCCCCACCCACCCCCTCCCACCCCCAACCCCCCAGCACCCACCCCCACCACCCGGAGTAAGCCAATTGATGACGTCACCAATTTAAATAACCGAGTCAGACAGGAAGTATCGATACTGATAGGGGAGTTGCAAATTACCATTTCGACTACTGCTTTTGCTTACAAATGTAAGCAAATTGTGAAGAAAAATGTGACTGCTGATGTTTCCTTTCAGAGTAAAACACGGACAAAGGAAATAGACAAAATATAACGCTGTGATATGGACAAGACAAAATATAACGCTGTGATATGGACAAGACAAAATATATCGCTGTGATATGGACAAGACAAAATATAACGCTGTAATATGGACAAGACAAAATATAACGCTGTGATATGGACAAGGCAAAATATAACGCTGTAATATGGACAAGACAAAATATAACGCTGAAATATGGACAAGGCAAAATATATCGATGAAATGTAGACAAGAAAAGACAATACAAAATATAAAGCTGAAATATGGATAAGACAAGAAAAAATGTAACGCTGAAATATGGACAAGACAAAATATGACGCTGAAATATGGACAAGGCAAAATATAACGCTGTATTATGGACAAGACAAAATATATCGATGAAATGTAGACAAGAAAAGACAATACAAAATATAACGCTGAAATATGGACAAGACAAAATATATCGATGAAATGTAGACAAGAAAAGACAATACAAAATATAAAGCTGAAATATGGATAAGACAAGAAAAAATGTAACGCTGAAATATGGACAAGACAAAATATGACGCTGAAATATGGACAAGACAAAATATACCGCGACTAATATACGCCAGGTAGTTATTAACTTGACTAATATAAGTTAGGTAGTTATTAACTTGACTAATATAAGCTAGGTAGTTATTAACTTGGCTAATATAAGCTAGGTAGTTATTAACTTGACTAGTATGCGCTAGGTAGTTATTAACTTGACTAATATAAGTTAGGTAGTTATTAACTTGACTAATATAAGCTAGGTAGCTATTAACTTGACTAATATAAGCTAGGTAATTATTAACTTGACTAATATAAGCTAGGTAGTTATTAACTTGACTAATATAAGCTAGGTAGTTATTAACGTGACTAATATAAGCTAGGTAGTTATTAACTTGACTAATATAAGTTAGGTAGTTATTAACTTGACTAGTATGCGCTAGGTAGTAATTAACTTGACTAATAGAAGTTAGGTAGTTATTAACTTGACTAATATAAGCTAGGTAGCTATTAACTTGACTAATATAAGCTAGGTAGTTATTAACTTGACTAATATAAGCTAGGTAGTTATTAACTTGACTAATATAATCTAGGTAGTTATTAACTTGACTAATATAAGCTAGGTAGTTATTAACTTGACTAATATAAGCTAGGTAGGTATTAACTTGACTAATATAAGCTAGGTAGTTATTAACTTGACTTATATAAGCTAGGTAGGTATTACCACGTGACTTTGTGAACCATTCGTTAGTTGTGGTTGGAATTAAATCGAACATTAGAAGTTTGAAAGAATGGGCCATGATTTGTGTAATGACGGCTAAAGATCTGTCAATGATAAATATTCTAAAACAAGGATCTAGAGAGAGCAAGGATGAAAGTGTTCTTAGGCATGTTATGACGGGTGGGGTGCTATGTGGCGTCTCGCTTGAGTGACAAGCAATAATGGGCTGTAATGGGGTGTAATTAGCGGGTTGGCGTTCTTTTAGAAATGTTTATATAGGGCAAAATATCGCTAATGCCAGTTTCGCTCTCTGTGTAGACTCTTGAAAAAAAGTTTTTGATATCGTGAACATATTACATAACACGAAGAGAGTAGAGACACTGGATATAATTATATTATATTGTATAAAGTGGGGTAGACATATGTTCTAGCGTAATGTTTAACTTGTAGTTTGATTTACACTATTCATTTTTTTTAACTAAATTCTCACTATGAAAAAATTGTTTGATAAATTATTGACACGGCTGGCTTATAAGCTCTATTAACGTTGTTTATTTAAGATATAAGGGACTTAAAAAACATTGACATGTAGTTTTCCAGCAGGTAGTTTACCTGAAGACGTCTGATAGAGCCACAGGTACTGGATGATGTCCTCTAGCTTGACATTGACCAGGTTCTCAAAGTGGAACAGATCGGCCCCGTCACTGTTACAGGCGTTCCTGGCCTCAGTGTAGTTGAGCCGGGGGTCTTCGGGGGTCTTCAGTCTGAGGCACCAGTCACAGTTGGGGTCGACGCTGACAATCTGGTAACCAAGGTAACTGGGGCAGTCACCTGAGGATGCGGGGTTAAGAGGGCAAAGGTCAGTGAAGGTAAAGTTGACTGTTGATGGTGACAGGGACTTATACTGTAGGAGGGCTACATGATATTACCCCCCCCCCCCAGTTACCCCCCCCCCGGGACATTTCCCCCCCGTATTTCCCCCCCCCCCATGGAGCAATTACCCCCTGTCAATTACCACCCTGTCAATTACCCCCCCCCCCCCTCAATTTAGAATACTAACTCTAACTCAAATTACCCTATTCCTAACCTTAAGAAAATACCAAAACCTAAGTTTTCACCTCAGCCTAAAACTAAACACAAAACCAAAACCAACTTTAGACATTGGTTTAAGCCTAGCCTTGACCATAACACTAACCCTAATCCTAAACCTAACCCTAGCCCTAACCCTAAATCTCGCCCCAACCCTAATCCTAATCCTAACCCTAACCCTAGATAATACAAACTGTAAGTGCATAGATGTCCTATGTTGCGACATGCTTATGAATGGATGCCCTGCCCTATATTAACAACAAGTTGTATGTATAGATGTCCTATAACAAGTTGTATGTAAAGGAGTCCTATGTTGAGGTTACAGATGTCCTGTATCAACGACAAGTTGTATGTAGGCCTACAGATGTCCTGTGTTGATGACAAGTATGTATAGATGTCCTAAGTACAGGACATTGTGTGCTTGTTTTATGTGTGTAATCCACTTGAAGTAAGAAACAAAGAACTTTATCTGAGAAACATCGAAACAGTCTTAGTGTGATAGTTTTAATGTTTTATTGAACAACAATCAATAGTGATAGTTCTAGAAAATAGCTAGATCACATAATTTTGAAATTAAACTCGAAATAACCAGCAAAATATGGCGTTGCTTAAAACACTTGATTAAATATTTAGCAAATGAGTTGATTGTATTTCTCTCTCAATAAATGTTTTTAGCTTTCAAAATATTTGTACAGAACCTAGCTAAATAAACGGCATTTTAGCTGGCCCAGATATTAAATATTAACCACATTGCATTAAATCAACTCACAGCGAGAGGGAAACTTGCATTAGCTCTCAGATGATATTATTACAATATCAAGTTTGTTTTACTTTCAGATGAGACTCCATGAGTAGTCGTAACTCAGGGGTTCTAAAATATGTTGGCACGACCTTGGTCCCTAGTCAGTGGCGTAGAGGGGGGAGGGGTGAGCCAGATTAACCCTGTCAGGTTTTTGGTTTAAAGATGGTTCTTTTACATTACGTTATAGCCATTGGGAAGGGGGTGCCATTTCAACAATTTACAATCATAAAATAAAGTCGCTAACGGCCTGTTTATATATATATATATATATATATATATATATAATATATATATATATATATATATATATATATATATATATATATTATATATATATATATATATATATATATATATATCTATCTATCTATCTATCTATC